GACGCTGTAATCACAAAGGCTTTGAAAACCTCGTCTTATTTTTTAAGAAATAGGTAATGGCTTTACTTGACGAGGCATCCTCTTTTCTGGAGCCTGCGATCCATTGCCCAAGTCGCACTGGATCACCACCCTTAAAATCACGGCTCCTACAGGAAGCGAAACTTGTTTTCAAAACTTGCAGCTTCAGCTACTCCACAAAAGACAATTCACGTCTAGATCGTTTGAGGCAGACCCCACTCAGTAGTCCTTCCCAGTGGAACTTACTTTTTGGGTTCTTGATGAGATTCCCAAAGTTAGAATGCACGAATACAAACTTTGTGGGTGAATGTTAATGGCTTCACCTCATCTATGAATACGTATGTGACAAGGCGATCATTTGTTTGGCCGCACGGACACTTTTGTTTTCGTAGGTTACACTGCTACTACTACCACCAGTCTGAGGTATGACCTCTGGGGATGCTGATAGCTCCTCCTCAAATTAGTAAGTAGTAACCTCCAACCCCTCCTAGTGCTTTGGCTATTCACCGACTCCAGTGAGAACTAGGTACGCTCCATTACTTTTGAATACTTCAAAAACCACTCGCTGCTTAAGAAGAATAAATTATTAAGAAGGTCATTACTTTGTTTAGGTGAAAGTTTACCCGCATTAGCTGTCCGGTTTACGCCAGTTTGTCCGCTACCAGTCAAACAAGCATTGGTTTTGTGCAGACATCTGGTGTTTCGAATTTGTCACCTAATAATTATTATTTTATTCTAAAATTTGTCCCGCTCTTGAATGTTGTAGCTTTACTTGCCAAGTCAACAGGGAGCGTTGACAGCCGTCATGGACTCATGTTCATCGACGCGTTGAGAAGGCGGTTTCGCTTATTCGTAACCCAGTTTACTTAAGTTTTTCAAGCCTCCAGAAATGTGATGAATCAGAACGTGAGGAGGGGATTGATCTGGAGGGAGTCTGCTTAATCGTGCTTAAAGTGTATCACTTAATAAGTCTTTTTCATCATGGTTGAATGATAAAGTCCAAGCATTCTAGTGACTGGCTGAAGTTAGTGCCAAGTCTAGGGCTTAGTTAGAAAAGAGCTTGATGAAATGTTGGATTATTGTACCGGTAAAAAAACGGTCTGAATTCGCCCTCCAAATCATTCCGTCAGCTCTTATGAGCATTTAAAACTCGAGCAGCCTCAGATGTCGTCGCACATAAATCTGGAACCCTTTGTGTGGGAGGTAGGTAGTGAGTAAAAGCATAACGTTCCAGTTTTCCAGAAATATGACGGCAGTCAAATAAAACCGAGCCTCTGAGCTACTGTAATAAAAAGGGTTATATGGTTTAGGGAGGGAAAATAAGGTTTGTGCCTGATATAATCCAATCCTACGCAGATAAACTTTCCTCAGCCACTCGATAATAACCTCAAAGCTTAGAGATAAAAGATTTAAACGAATACCAAAAAGACAATGATGCATTAGATGTGAATGCACAAATGGGGAAAACCTACCCAAGAGGATGATAGATTGAAAAGACTAAGTTTAGGGCGAAATAGACGACTTTGA